CAGGGAGCCCGATGCGGGGCTCGATCCCAGGACCCCGGGAGCATGACCTGAGCCGAAGGCAGACGCTTAACGACTGAGCCACCCAGGCGCCCCAATAATCCCATCCTTTCACTGTCATTATTATTACAGAGATTTGTCTTAGCTACAAATAAGCTTATCTCTTTTTACCACATGAGTAACACTTAACAAGCATTTGAATGTAGTACTAACATTTTACATATTGTATTTGACGTTCACATACAAGTACTTTAAAATGTCTCTCTCGAGTTGTTACACATTTGTAATAATTCATCTTTTTGACAGAATCATTATTGGAGGTCCTGAGAAGTGAAGATCTGCAAACTAACGCTGAAGCTTTTTTATACTGTATGGGGGCTATCAAATTCATTTCTGGAAATCCACGATTTCTCAGTGAAATGATCAGCAAAGATGCTGTGGAGATACTGATGAATTTGATAAAGCAAATAAATGAGAACACCAACAAATGTGGTACCTGTTTGCCTAACTCAGGCCACTTACTAGTCCAAGTAAGTATTTTACTTGAACAAGTTATATGTGTAAAATAGTTTTCATGTTCCCTAGTATCAGTTACCTGCCAGGTGGGTGTAACAGGTAACAGGTGGGCTGTCACCAACAACCAGGTAGGGGTACCTGGCATTAGGGATCAAGAGAAGCAGCCACTGCCCCCCACACACCCCATGTGTGCCCATTTCCCCTGGAAAGGCTATTCCATGCCTATTCACGGAGCATCTCTCTACACAGCTTCGACGTCCATTTCTGCTACTCCACGGGGAAGGCAGGCCTAGTAGAATAAAAAGTTAGCCTCACTCTGCAAAACAATTGCAGGCTATCATCAGAATTTTAACAGGCAGAGTTTTAATCTTCAGAGTTTCAAGACTGGATATTGTTCGTGAGGATGGGTAACTAATGTCATGAATCTTGTATCTGCCGTAAAAAGCAAAAGTTAATGATATTAAGTGGACAGTCGTTGGGGGGTGTGCAGATGACCTTCAGGCCTGAGACTATAGGAATGAAGGTAGCAAAACTAGATACATTTAATATGACCAGGGGCAAGATGAAAAAAATGTGTTATGTGTTACTTTTATTACTTCTTTTGTGGCAGATTAAATTTCATAGTTAAATTATTTTCACTGGAGCTGCTTCAGCTCTCATATTCATTTCTAGATGAGATTCTACTTTTTAATAGCATTTGTATATCAGATAATAGCATCTTTGATGTAATAATTCATGAGATTTGAAATGTGCTTGTCAATTAATGAGGATTGATTGAGCACTCAGAGTGCTTGGAGCCTTTGGGAAAGTGTGTTAAAAATTAGATTTAAGCCCTGCCTTAAAGATGCTTAAAGTGTTTATGATGATCATTAATTTTGGACTTTGCGGTCTGTCTCCATTTTGAAAAAAGATTGTGAAAACCCCTTTTAGTCGTGAATGATTCAAAATTCTACTGGATGTGCCATCTTTTGTCTAGGAAGACTTAGAAACCTTATTTTCATGCTGTCAGTGTTAGTGAGTTATTCAAAAATTTTCCTCAATGGAAATAATTATTTTGGTTATATAATTATTATATTTCCTTATTAAAATGCAAAAAAGTATGAGGAAGAATGTAAAATCCCCTGAAATATTTTTACCCTGAGATAGCACACCTCCAACATTTTAGTAACCATTCTTCCGTTGCATTTTCATGCAAATATACACTTACATATGCATAATTTTATATAATTCTTGATTTTTATCATGGAGTCTTATTTTTCATAGTTGTTTTTGCTTATTTTCCATTACTCTCTTCCTTCCTCATTTCTCCTGTTCCAACCAGTTAGCCAACATTGTTCACACTGACGTGCTCAGCACCTTTTACAATCATAGGTTTTCAAAAATGGGTTATTCCATGCACTTCTGTGTTCTCATGTAACAATACATAGTAAGAACCCCTGGTAGATTTATTTTACATTTTTTAATGACTGTGTAATATTCTGTGATAAGGATATACCTCAAATACTGAACTGTTCTCCCATTGGGGTGTTCACTCTTTTTAATTTTTATGCAACAGCTTCTAAAATTGTTGTCTGATTAAAAAAGCTCTTTCCAGGGACACCTGGGTGGCTCAGTTAGTTAAGCAGCTGCCTTCAGCTCAGGCCCATGGTCCCAGGGTCCTGGGGTCGAGTCCTGCATCAGGCTCCTGGCTCAACGGGGAGCCTGCTTCTCCCTCTGCCTGCCTCACCCCTGCCTGTACTCTCTCTCTCTGACAAATAAATAAAATCTTTAAAAAAAAAAAGCTCTTTCCAACCCACTTATATACATATAATACACATATAAATATAT